GTATATTAATGTGTAAACCGATATCCTTTTTATAGCGCCTTTATCGGCACGTTTCTAACGAGATTTGCGATATCAAAAGTCCATGGATTACCCCCGAATTTGGATTGGTTATTCAGTTCAAATAAATTAACCGACAATGAGGCAGGAGGGCGAACCGTATGCGAGTCCGAGGAATGCAAGAAAATGGGTATTTGCATTTCATGAAGCTATCAGTCTCGACTGCTCCAAAAATTCAAATCGTTACTTCGTATCACTTCTTTTTCTCACTTTTCTCAGCTGAACTGATACTAGGAAGCATGAATAGATCCGTAGACCCATGTGACGACTTTTACGAGTACGCGTGTGGAAACTTCCCGGAACAACATCCCATTCCAAACGGATATGCAATATGGAATATGATGTACGGGCTTCGAAATCAGACTTTAATGCAAGTACAAGGTGATCAATTGCATCTGCACGTTGCCGTAAAATTCAAAACTTGAGATTTGCTCGGCATATCTTAATATTATTAAGTTCTTTGCAGAGATTGTGGAGGCTAAACCTGCGGAGGACGATCTCAACACGGTGAAGCTTGCGAAAAAGTGGTACAGAGCTTGCACGGATACTGGTGAGTGTGCCTGTACTAATTAAAGTTCGAATAAAAAATATGCAGATATTGTATATCGCATTGTACAACGTACCCTACAGGACAGCAATAATATTATTCGAATAATCTGTACATCTCTACGGAATGCACTGAGATTATCCTATACTTATAATATCTTATACTTTGCGATATCCTTCAAATATTTTCAAAGTGTACATTTGCTGGTAGAGTAATAATTCGCCGATGCTTACAGATGCGATGGAAAAGCAAGGACTTGACCCACTGGTTTCTACCCTAACGCGTTTAGGCGGCTGGCCGATGATAATGGAGCCGGATAAATGGGACGAGCAGGAGCACAGCTGGCAAAAAGTGGACGATCATTATATGCGCTTGACGGGAAGAAATGCCTTTCATGACGTGCGCATACAGGAAGATAATTCGAATGTTGTAGAGGTACTTATTGTGATACTTTCGGCCAGAATTCAAACTGATTTGCAAAGAATAGAATTAGACTTTGTTAGTAAGTCTAAATTTACCTTCCTCTTTTTTTATTTAAAGAAGAAGTACATCTGCAGTAAGATACGTAATTGACATTTCTATAACTTGGTTCATGTATATACGTGTGTCGCCTTTAGGTTTTAATATTTGTATAATATTATAATTTTTCAATCACACTCTCTGCGCTACTCGTTGCATGTCACACTAATCTAACTCTAAAACATCTGCATCGATTTTCTATCAGTCATCCAAATCTTTTCCCTATAAATCTGTATGTAGATTGACACGCCGCATTTACCGCCGGGTTCAAAGGCACTGCGAGCTTTGTTTGACACCGACAGCGAAGAAGAGAGTGATGAAGAGGACGAAGAAGAAAAGGGAGATAGCAAAAGCGATGAAGACCCGAGCGACGAGGAGGAGCAAAGCAAAGAGGAACCTGGAAGCGATGGCGACGATGATGACGGCAGTGGCGACAACGATATCGCTAATGACGATGATGACGACTATGACGATGACGACTATGACGACTATGACGAAGACGACGACGATGATACGAACAAGATTGAAGGTGCGAAGAAAGTAATGGGCAAGAAGAAAGTCGGCAAGATCGATCGTGGAAGAAATAAAAAATTAAGGCATATTGGACAAAGAAAGAGGCGTACCCAGATTACTAAGAAACACGATAGCCACAAGGCGAAAGAACAAAGAATAAAAAGAAACGCAGCAGCAGAAGTTGACGGTAAACGCGCGCGACGGTTTAATCATCGCGAGAAGTTACACACGCGGAAAGGCAGAAGAAGTCGCGTAGGAAAAGTGCATGGAAAAAGAATGAAGAAAATTTTGGACGACAGGAAAAAGGTACGCAAAACGGCGAAACTTCAAGATAGTGTGGTAGGAACGAATGGAGATAATGAAGAAGAGAAAGCACTGCTACGAATGTACGCTAATTACATTGCAAAAGTGGCTCGTGTCCTAGCTAAAGAAGCAGGTACTGAAATTTCAGAAGATCTTCTCGAAAAAGATATTCAAGATATGATTGCGTTCCAACTGAAAATAATTCAGGTGATTATCATGCTATTGCCATATTTTACAAAATATTACATAAGAAAGAAGACTTTCAACCACGGACTTTCTATATATTGAACGAGCTGAATAATTAACGTTTCAGATTATCCCAGATACGGAATCGACACTGTTACATAAACTTTTCAATGTGGTATTTAATTTGGAAAAATTTACACTGGGAGATTTTCACAACTGGTATAACGAAATGAACCATAAAACAGCTAAAAGCAAGGTAAGTTTTTTCAATCGAATAATTTAGTTCGATTTTAATAACACGTTAGTTTAGCGGTTTTTATGACTACATAAATATGATTAATTCAATGAAGAATGATCTCATCTATGAAAATTTTTTTATATATAAAAATATATTTATAACATATATATAAAAAATATTTTTACGAGACGTTTTCTACTCTTGTATAATCGCTATTCGTGTATACGAGAAAAATTGTTAGGCGCAGGTTAAATAGAAAATAATTATCGCTCAGGAATGACATGATTAAAAACGATATACCCATTTCTCACAGCGTGAAATAAAAGGGACCCTCGATAACGTCCTCATATTAAGAAGGTAAAAATATAAGACAAAAGAAAAGGGTTTCTAAAAATAAATGTGAAGACCTAGACATATGCAAATAAAACTAACTAAATCCTAGCTTTCACCTTTTCTTTACCTATCATATGAGGAAAATTTTAATAATGTCAATAAATATAATAAGAATTTAGGAACAATTGAAAGAATAATTTTTGTATTGTTTGTTTTACAGAAAAACGAAATTTCAAGAAATGAGTAAAATTGTCCATAATATGTAGATATTATAATTTTATAAAAATATGATTACATATAGAATATTATTTAAACAAATTGCAATTTTACTTTGTTTAAGCAAAGCAATGCAGAGGTTATTTTCCAATTCTTTTTTGTACATATCATATACAAATAGGGATTATACAAGAGAAAGAGTATATGTATATGGACGCGTTTTGCATATAAAATTTTTGTCCACGGTTGTAGATTGACTGGGTGAACAAAATAAAGGCATTGTTCGACGAAGCGAACGAGCCCGTGAATAACGATTTAAATGTCATTGTCTCATCAAGTTACTTTGAAGAACTTCTTTCCTTGTTGGACGAGACATCGAATCGAACAATCGGTAAGTTTCCGAAGTGGAACAATTATAATACAAATCATAATAGTTATTGGTGTACACGTGTCCATAAGAAATATGTTTCAGTGAATTATATACACTGGAATTTCATAAGCAAAGTAATAAAGACGACAACGAGTGAAATGAGAACATTGTACAATTCGTGGGGCGGGACTAGCGATAGCGGAAGTTCGAGGTTTGATATATATTTATATAAATAGTATTTTCCTCACACTTTATATTTCATTATTTCCTACTAAAGTATTACTAATTTAACATATAACTTACTTATGTTAAAATGCAGTGAGAGATCTCTTATGTGTATGGAGTCAGCAGAGATAAAGGATATTCTAGCATACGAATTTGTAAGGAAATACTTCACCAAGGATATCATGAACTCAGTAAGTATCATTGTATTTATCTTTCACCAACAATTCTAATTCTGTACTTATTATTTTTCCCCTAAATCGGTTGCTCACTACTATTGTAGGCATCGAGTATGCTGACCAATATACAAAACGAAGTCGAAATCTTAATTAAAAGCTCAGGTTGGTTGGATGACAACGGTAAGGATTATGCTTTAGCCAAAGTGAAGAATTTGGGAAGATTTCTTGGATACCCAGATTGGTATAAAAATACCACGATCATTGAAGAGTATTATAAAGGGGTGAGTTTTCCTAAATTATTCATCTTATCCACTACACATTACATGACGACCGCCTTACATAAAATTATTTCATTAAAGCTCATTATCGGTTCGTCGTATTATGAAAATGCACTTCGATACACCAGATACACTAAATCGAAGAGCCTACGGAAGTTGGGGAAAAATGATACTGAAGACAAAGACCAGTGAGACAGCAATTTATTATTTAGTTTGTTTGCGAGTTAAATTGTCTTTATACGAACTTTATGTTACAGAAAACAGTTAGATCCGATTGAGGTGAATGCCTTTTACATGCCCTGGAGGAATGCTTTAGGTGCAGTATATGTTCTTGCTCGTCTATTGATAAATATCTTAATTGCACGCTATGCATCGTAGTTATTTTTTAACAGATTTGATTGATCAGTCTTTGCATATTAAATATTGTTTTAAAATGAATTTTTTTACAATTATTATCTTAAAAATTCTCCCGTCCACAGCTATCACGGCAGCGGATTTCCAGAGCCCATGGTTCTCTCACGATCGGCCACGGTAAATGAATGGTTCTCATTAAAATTCGATATAAAATAAAAAATGTATACGTCTGTTATAGTTAAATTTATAATTACTTTATATTAAAATCTTAATATAAATATTAAGAGAAGTTTTCTCTAACAATCATTTCTTTGTAGAGCCGTTAATTTTGGTATCATTGGATTCGTCATGGCACACGAGGTTAATCACGGATTTGATGATAGAGGTATATTAGAAAATAACCGCTATGAAACTCTAGGCTTACTTTTTACAATGTTAACAATGATTACTATAATAACATAATATAATATGATTTATTATTTAATGCTTTTTGAGAATGTTTGGCAAAAGAGAGATATAAAGAAATAACTTTCAGGGAGCTTGTACGATAAGAACGGGGAATTCACCTGGACGACATTGTTATTAATGTTAGCCACCACATACGAGGAGAAGCAAAATTGTTTTGTGAACCAGTTTAATAATTATACCATTGATAAAAAAACAAAGATAGAGGTATATGGCTCGTTGTATAGTATCTTGAAATCATCTTTATTTTACTGAAGATTTATTTAGTCATTTTTATTGATTATTGAAGATCTTTATTTTGCCGAAGCCTTACTGATCATTTTTACTGATTGAACTCACAGGATTATGGCGAGCAGACGATAAGCGACAATATCGCGGACACAATGGGACTGCAAGCGATTTATAAAGCTTATCAACGCAAGGAGAAAGAGAGTGAAACACCGGACGCCACGATGCCGGGCATGGAAGATTTTACAAACGATCAACTGTTCTTTTTATCTTTTGCCAACGTGAGTGTAACAGGCATTAAGAGAACTACAATTGAAACTTATGATAATAATTAATGATATTTTTGCGCGCGAGACTCATTTGCGTGTCGCACTTATACATATACTGCACACACCGAAAATGACGGAATTGATAAGATTTGACGTGACAGGAAAGAATTACTTCATTTGACTGTAAATACAAAAGAGCACAATACTTCTAATTGTTTTTCAACTATATTAGAATGAAACTTTTTGCAGTTATGGTGCGAATCAGTCAAACCAGATTATCTAATGACTCTGGCTAGAAGAGATGAACATAGCGTCGGGCGACTGAGAATTATAGGCTCCATATCAAATTCTGATGACTTTGCCAGAGCTTACAGTTGCCCGGTTGGCAGTCCGATGAATCCCGAAAAGAAGTGCAACATCTGGACGTGATTCGAAAGAATCGTGCAAAGGATTTTTCATAGGAGTAGCTCCGAGAAATTATTTATGTACCGATGAATAAAATAATACGCATGCCTATAAACATGTCTCCTGACGATTCTTTTACTTCATGATAATTAATAGTAGATTAATATTGATAGTAAATTTTAAGAGTCAAAGTAAAATCCAATGAATATTAAGAGAAATTTTGAAAACGACTTTGACGTCAGCATTGTCAGATTTGATATAGCGAATCGTATATTCGCAAAGTCAATAACCTTTTCAGATTTTTGAAACTCGGTATGGAGGGATTTTAGCAGGGTTGGGAAATAACTCGTTACTTGTAACGAAGTTACAGTTATATGTATTGCGACGCACTTTTCTTTCTTCTTTAAATTCTTCCGCCCTCCCGTTACACGCGGACGGACGGGTGTTGCCGTCCCGCTCTCGCTATCGCGCGCGGATCTTAGGCGAGGGCGCGCCGACGACGGGGAGTGCGGTCGCCGGGCGCGAGAAGCGCGGGATACGGACGGATCGGGTCGTCGGCAAAAACCGAGGGGAAGGGAATGGTAACGCGCCGGAAAGGAGCAGGGTCTCGGTGGCTCCGCGCGTACCGTGCCGCGGGCCGAAAACTCCACGCGAAAAGCGAAGATTGGGCGCCAGACGCGGTCTTTCACGCGTCACGTCGCGAAACTCGCGAAATCGCACGAACGAGATGGAGCGGCCCTCGTCACGGGCACTCTAACTCGCCTAACGGTAGAGGGGCGGGGCGGTGGTTGCCACTAAAGATTCCAGAGGCTACGGGACGTATGGAATTCTCACGACGGACGAAACACACGGGGGGACGTGCACGAAAAGAAACTCAAATAATTAATAAAAATAACAACGGGTTTAATATAAGGCGGCGTTAACACGCCGGTTGAGTGGCCGCTATAACGGGCGGCGTCGTTGGCGACAATAATTCAAGCCCCGAGATCGGGGGAAACGACACGCCGCGATACTCTCTGCGACGCGGAACAATCCGGCGCGAACTCAACGGCAGAAATTGGCTGTACGCGATAAACCCTATTCAGACGACACGGACGCACTTGACAATAATTTCTCGCGCGAACGGTACGAGTACCGTCGCTCGCACAAATATTTCCGAATTACGATCACCTGAATTACGCAAACTTTCCCGAGCCACACTCGGCCGGGGCGCTTTGCCCGCGAGACTGGGTACACGGGCCGACGGGTCGGCCCGTCGTACAACGACGTGCAGAACGCAAATTCCGCCGGGTAGTCCCCGACGGCTAAATACGGCGAGCCTTTCGCTCGCTCCCGGCCGCGCCGGCCGCGCTGGTCAGCAGGGGATCCCGCTCCGGACGCGCCGTCCTCGCGAAATCCGCCACCGACAACGGCGGAAGCGGCCCGGGGTATCGCAAACTCTCGCACCGCCGTTCACACTCTCGCGGTCGTCGCGACTCCTTCACGCCACGCATGCACGCGACACTCCCGCGGCGTGCGTACCCCGCGTGATCTCGCGCAACGCAACCCTCGCGCCGCGAATCTCCAGATCGGCTATGAAAACGGAAATGCACGCGGTCGCGAGACTCGACGCAAACACACACACGCAATCACTCACACGCGAGACCTGTGCCCTGCAGGCTCCGGGGAACCGCGGTTGCTTGTCGCCGCGCCCGGGACTCCAACCAAACTCTAAAGCCAACGGGCCGTAGCCCGGGCGACACCAAACGCAAAATTCTCCCGGCGGCGACAGAACAACCCGGGCCCGGACGCTATCGCACGGGGCGAAACAGACGGAGGAGGATCTCACCGGCACCTCGGCTCTCCCGGGATCGGCAGGCGGCAACGGCTCGTCCTGGGCTTCCGCGGGAACTCGCCCTTCGTGGCGGGAAAACGGCGGCAGCGGTAAACCGGGGTCCTTCCTCTTACACTACTCGCAACAGGCTGCTCCGAATTTTCCGCGATCGCGGATCGATAGTTCGGGGGCCCCCCCCGCGCGGCTGCTCGCGCGAGGCGCGTGCCCCGCGGCCAATCGCGCGACGGCACGCGACAACGCCGGCAGCGATATCTTCACGATCGGGCGCAGGTGCCCGCGGGATCGCCAAATTTTCTCGCGTTCCCTCGATAGGGCGGTCGCAGCGGCTCCCCCGCTGACGCCCCTCAGGTATCGTGTCACGGGCCCTGGGCTCCTTCCTCCCGGCTCGCTGCTCCGCTCGCTCCGTTCCCGCTCCGCACGCCTCTCCACCGTGCTCGCCGCGGAATTCGTCCGTTAGCCGGGCCTCTCGTCTTTCCTCCGCCCCCGCGTCCATCCGCACTCATACGCTCGCATTCATAGGACAAAAAAAAACAAAATAATCAGCAATCGCGTCGATTTTACCGAATAACGGTCGCCTTTCTGGAGACTGCGGCACGGTTTTCCCTAATCTTGGCCTGTTGCCTTGAGGGAGGAACCCGGTGGACGCGCTCGCGGGACGGCAACGTCACAGTATAGGTACTTATTTTTGGTAACACTAACTTAACTTCATCACTTTCTCTCCATCCGTAACTGTGACTTAACTCAGTTACATATTTTCGATAACCAGTAACTAATTTAATAGTTACATTAATAGTTACTTTATACAGGGTGGACCATTTTAACCTTTAATGGATATAACTCGACCGGTAAGCGAAATAATAAAAAAATACTTTATTATAGCGTTTTGGAAAGCTCTCGAGGTAGCTACAAGAATATGTAATAAAAAATAGGGGATGCCATTTAAAAAAATTGGCGTGACCTTTATGTGACCTTCAAATAATTCTACAAGGTCAAACCAATGGTACCATCTTATGGCCCCCTTCAAACCAAACAACTTTTGTCTGAAACGTTTATGTCTGCCGTTCTCGGATTTCGAGATATTTGGCTGATACGGGTGGTCTGGGACACTCTGTATATATAAAGTATGTTAACTGTTTTAGATAAGAATACGTGTTTAAATTGATAAATTATAAAAACGCAAAAGTCTTATCTTTTTATTTGCATCATTTCTTTTGTCTCGCAAAGGCGGTATGTCTTCGTTAAAAATCGCTCAAAGAACAACGCGTCAAATAAATAGTTAAAATAATTTATCAAAAACAGACGATTACTTGCTCATGATATCACGAATTCACTGTTGCTTTTATTAGTTGTCTGTCGTTTTCATTTATCGTTCACATTTTGAAAAAGAATTTCCCCGACATATTCTTAAAAGTCGGATATTGTCATCCAGAATTCTTTAATTTAGATAGATGTTCGCGAGAAAAGGAAAACGTGACAAAATTTTCAATTACTATTGAAAGAAAAATCAAGAAGAAAGCTTAAAAGAAAAAGAGCGTTTAAGAGCGATCGCATAATTTATTTAAAATTTAAAATCAACAGGACGAGAAAGATGTATCTCTGGCCTTCGACTTATCAATTCGATATGTTTGCACATTCTAGAGCGCTTTCCGCCCAAGTAGTAACATATAAAAGAGTAAGCAGCCAACAAATGATTTCATATTGTAATAGAGAACGTTAGGAAACATTTAGTGTATCATCATTGAAATTTAGACCGGCTGACGATTATTCCCGACATGAGGCGACTCATTCTTTTGTACGTAAGTTAAATAATAATCGTTCTTGACAATGCATGATTAGATGTTTTTTTAATTCCTTTTTACACGCATAAATATAAATATCTTAAGGCGTACTGTAGAATGTAATAATATACATTAATCGTGATATTGCATATATTGCAACAATTACATTATAACAAATGTTATATGTTACATATGTATTATATTATGCTATAAATCGTGATTTCTATATACATATTAATGTGTACATCAATATTCTTTTTTACAGCGCCTTTATTTGCGCGTTTATAACGAGAGTTGCGGTATCAAAAGTACATGGGTTTCCCTCGTATTACGATTGGTTATTCAGTTCAAATAAATTAAACAATAATGAGGAAAGAGAGCGAACCGTATGCGAATCCGAAGAATGCAAGAAAATGGGTATTTGCATTTCATGAAACCACTAGACTCGACTGCTCCAAAAATTTCAATCGTCATTTGCTATCACTCATTTTATCACTTTTCTCAGGTAAACTGATATTAGAAAACATGAATAGCTCCGTAGATCCATGTAACGACTTTTACGAGTACGCGTGCGGAAAGTGGTCGAAACATAATCCTATTCCAGTAGGATCATCAAGATGGAATATGCAATACCAGCTTCAGTATCTGACCTATAAACAACTACAAGGTGACCAATCATCTGCACGTTGCAATGAAATTCAAAGTTTGTGATTTGCTTAACATTTCTTGATATTATTAAGTTTTTCGCAGAGATTGTGAAGGCTAAACCTGCGGAGGACGATCTCAATACGGTGAAGCTTGCGAGAAAGTGGTACGAAGCTTGCACGGATACTGGTGAGTGTGCCTGTACTAATAAATGTTCGAATAAAAAAAATATGTAGATTTCGTATCGCATTGTACAACGCACCGTACAGTACAGTAATGGCATTATTCGAATAATCCGTACTTCTATAGACTGTACTAACAATAAGATTATCCTAACATACTGGAAACATTCCTGTAATATTTTATACTTTGCGAAATTTTTCAAATACTCTCACAATCTACATTTGCCGGTAGAGTAATAATTCGCCGACGCTTACAGATGCTATGGAAAAGCAAGGACTTGACCCACTGGTTTCTACCCTAACGCGTTTTGGCGGCTGGCCGATGACAATGGAGCCGGATAAATGGGACGAGCAGGAGCACAGCTGGCAAAAAGTGGATGATCATTACATGCGCTTGACGGGAAGAAATGCCTTTCATGACGTGCGCATACAGGAAGATGATTCGAAAGTTGTAGAGGTACTTATTGTGATACTTTCAGCTAGATTTCAATCTAATTTATAAAGAGTGCAATTAGACTTGTTAAATCTAAATTTACGTTACGCTTTTCTTATTTGGAGAAGTACATCTACAGTGAGATACGTAATTGACATTTCTATAACTTTGTTCATGTATTTACGTGTGTCGCCTTCACGTTTTAACATTTGTATAATATTATAATTTTTCAATCACACTCTCTGCGCTACTCGTTGCATGTCGCACTAATCTAAATCTAAAACATCCGCATCGATTTTCTGTCAGTCATCCAAATCTTTTCCCTGTAAACCTGTACGTAGATTGATACGCCGCATTTACCGCCGGGTTCAAAGGCACTGCGCGATGTGATTGAAACCGACAGCGAAGAAGAGAGTGAAGAAGAGGACGAAGAAGAAAAGGGAGATAGCAAAAGCGATGAAGACCCGTGCGACTGCGACGAGGAGGAGCAAAGCGAAGAGGAACCTGGAAGCGAAGGCGAGGATAAATCGAAAGTCGATGATGATGACGATGACGACGACGATGATGATGGCAGTGGCGATTGTGATGACGGTGATGATGAAGGTAGTGGCGATTGTGACGATGACGACGATGATGGCAGTGGCAATTGTGATGACGATGATGACGACGACGACGACGACGACGACGACGATGATATGGACATGGTTGAAGATGTGAAGAAAGTAATGGGCAAGAAGAAGATCGGCAAAATCGGTCGTGGAAGAAGTAAAAAATTACGGCACATTGAACAAAGAAAGGGGCGTACTCAGATTACTAAGAAACATGATAGCCACAAGGCGAAGAAACAAAGAATAAAAAGAAACGCAGTAGCAGAAGTTGACGGTAAACGCGCGCAACGGTTTAATCATCGCGAGAAGCTACGCACCCGGAAAGGCACAAGAAGTCACGTAGGAAAAGTGCATAGCAAAAGAACGAAGAACATTTTGAGCATTGGGGAAATGGTACACACGGCGAGACCGCGAGGTAGTGTGGAAGAAACGACTGGAGAGAATGGGAAGGACGCAGTTTTGGTACAAATGTACGCTGATCACATATCGAAAGTGGCTCGTGTCATAGCTGACGAGACAGGTACTGTAATTTCACAAGAAAGTCTCGACAAAGATATCGAAGATATGATCGTGTTCCAATTGAGATTGATACAGGTGAATATCATGCTATTGCCATATATTGCAAAAGTATAAGACAAGAGACTTTTAACCGCGGACCTTCTATATGTATATTGAACAATTTGAATAATTAACGTTTCAGATTATCCCATCGGGCTCGACGATGTATCATAAGCTGTACAATAAGTTATTCGATTTGGAAGAATTTACACTTGGAGGTTTTCAACACTGGTATAACAAAAAGAACCCTAAAACAGCTCAAGGCAAGGTAAGTTTTTCAATCGATTAATTTAGTTCAATTTTAATAACACGTTAGCTCTTCGGTTTTCATGACTGGATAAATATGATTAACGCAATAAAGAATGACGTGACCTGTCTGGAAAAATGTTTTATACCTACCTGAAAATATATATAATATAATATATATTTTTTCGAGATTTTCTCTTCTCTTGTATAATCACTTTACGTATATACAGAGTTGTTAGGCGCAGGTTAATTAGAAAATAATTGTCGCTCAGGAATGACGTGATACAAAACGATATACCTATTTCTCACAACGTGAAATAATTGGGGCCCTCGATAACGTCCTCATATTAAGAAGGTATAGAAATATAAGACAAAAGGAAAGGGTTCCTAAAAACGAATAAAGACCTATACATATGCAAATAAAACTCACTAAACCCTAGCCTTCAAGTTTTCTGACCTATCATATGAGGGAAATGTTAATAATTTCGACAAATCTAATAGTAAGGAGAATTTACGAACATATAGGTGACAGAAAAATTAAAAGTGTAATTATATTTAAAAGAATTATTTCCGCATTGTCGTTTTTTTTGCAGAAAAATGAAATTTGTGGAAATGAGAAAAACTTCTAATTACTTTTCAATTATTCTTCTTATTAGTCTTTTATACAGAATAACAATTATACGAGAGAAAAATAATATATAGATATATTTTATATAAAAATTATCTCCTGATTATAGATTGACTGGGTGAACAAAATAAAGGCATTGTTTGACGAGGCGAACGAGCCTGTGGATAATGATTTAAATGTCGTCATCACGTCAAGTTACTTTGTAAATCTTATCTCTTTGTTAGATGTGACACCGAATCGAACGATCGGTAAGTTTTAGAAGTGCAATCATAGTACGAAATGTAATAGTCGTTAGTACACGTGTTCATAAAAAATACGTTTCAGTGAATTATATACACTGGAATTTCATAAGCAAAGTGATGAAGACTAGCACAAGTACAATGAGAGAGTTGTCCAAGTTTTGGGAGATAATTCGCACGGGCACAATGTTGAGGTTTGATATATTCATATACATAACTAGTACTTCCTTATATTTTATAATTCATCATTTACTGCCAAGGTATTTCTAATTTAAAATCCAATTCACTTATGTTAAAATGCAGTCAGCGACCTTTCATATGTATGGAGTCAGCAGAGATAAAAGATATTCTGGCGTACGAATTTGTAAGGAAATATTTCACCGATGATATCGTGAAAACAGTAAGTTTCATTTTATTTGTCTTTTACCTACAATCCGAATTCTGGGCTTATAAACTTTTGCCTAATTCGATTACTCACTACTATTGTAGGGATCGAAAATGATCTGTGATATACAAAAGGAAGTCGAGATCTTGGTTAGAAACTCAGATTGGTTGGATAATAACGCTAGGGACTTTGCTTTAGCCAAAGTGAAGAATTTGAAAAGATTTCTTGGGTATCCCGATTGGTATAAAAACACCACGATCATTGAAGAGTATTATAAAGGGGTGAGTTTTTCCTAAATTGTTCATCTTATCTACCACACATTACATGACGTCCGTCTTACGTAAAATTATTCCACTAAAGCTCATTATCGGCTCGTCGTACTATGAAAATGTACTTCGATACAACAGATACACCAAATGGAAGAGCCTACGGAAGTTGGCGAAAGAAGATACTTTAGACAAAGACCAGTGAGACAACAATTTATTATTTCGATTTATTTGCGAGTTAAATAATCTTTATACAAATTTATGTTACAGAAAACATTTAGATCCGATTGCGGTGAATGCCTTTTACATGCCCTGGAGGAATGTTTTAGGTTCAGTATATGTTCTTGCTTGTCTATTGATAAGTATCTTAATTGCACGCTATGCATCGTAGTTATTATTTATCAGATTTGATTGATCTGTCTTTTGCATATTAAATATTGTTTTAAAATGAATTTTTTAAATAATTATTATCTAAAAAATTCTCCCGTCCACAGCTATCACGGCAGCGGCTTTCCGGAGCCCACGGTTCTATTACGATCGGCCACGGTAAATGAATGGTCCTCATTAAAATTCAATATAAAATAAAAAATATGTACAATTTATAATTACTTTATATTAAAATCTTTATATAAATATTAAGAGAAGTTTTCTCTAATAATAATTTCTTTATAGAGCCGTTAATTTTGGTATTATTGGATTCGTCATGGCACACGAGGTTAATCACGAATTTGATGATTCAGGTACACAAGAAAATAACTGCTACGAAACTATGCTTACTTTTTATAATGTTAACAATTATTGCTACAATAGCATAATATAATGTGATTTATTATTTAATTGCCGTTTGAGAATGTTGAGCAAAGAAGAAATGGAAAGAATTATCTTTTAGGACGCGTGTACGATAAGGACGGTGATTTCTCCTGGATGAAATGGTTATTGAAAATAGCCGCCATATATGACATAAAGCAAAAGTGTTTTGTGAACCAGTTTAATAATTACCCCATTGATACAGAAACAAATATGAAGATAAAGGTATATTGCTCGTTGTGTCTTGGACTTATTTTTATTTTACTAAAGCTTTATTTGGTCACTTTTATTTATTGATTATTGCTCGAGTTATCTTTATTTTACCGTAGCCTTACTGGTCACTTGTACTTACTAAACTTACAGGATTATGGCAAGCAGACAATAAGCAACAATATCGCGGACACAATGGGATTGCAAGCGATCTACAAGGCTTATCAACGCACGGAGAAAGAGAGTAAAACACCGGACGCCACGATGCCGGGCATGGAAGATTTTACAAACGATCAACTGTTCTTTTTATCCTTTGCCAACGTGCGTGTTATAGGCATTAAGAAAACTATAATTCAAACTTATGATAATAATTAATGATATTTTTGCGCGCGAGACTCATTTGAGTGTCGCACTTATATATATATTTCACACACCGAAAATTGCGGACAAATGTGATTTGTCTTGACAGGAAAGAATTAGTTCATTTGACTGTAAATACAAAAGAGCACAATACTTCTAATTGTTTTTCAACTATATTAGAATGAAACTTTTTGCAGTTATGGTGCGAATCGTTCCAACCAGGTTATCTCATGACTCTGGCTAGAAATGATGAACATAGCATCGGGCGACTAAGAATAATAGGCTCCGTATCAAATTCGGATGACTTTGCCAGAGCTTACAGTTGCCCGGTTGGCAGTCCGATGAATCCCGAAAAGAAGTGCAATATCTGGAAGTGATATTTGCAGAGTATTTCGTAGAATGATAACTCGCAAAAATTATTTTTGTACTGGTGAATAAAATAACACGCATGCCTATAAACATCTCTTCTAGCGATTCTTTAAATCCATAAAAAAGACGCACGATCGCACAATACTTGATACAAAGTTGAACTCTGAAGCTTGATTCTTGAATCATTCGCTAAAGAAACGTATGCGAAAATTCTGCTCTTAGATAGAAGGTAAAAGTTGATTTGGTAAAAGTTATACAAATTGTCAATCACCTTGCAACTTTTCTATAAAAGCAGCTTTCTCGCATACGAATCTTTTGCAAAGGATTCAAGAATCGAACCCCTGTCTTTTGGCAGCTAAAATGTCTTTCAATCAGGAGGAAACCCCTGGTGGGTTCGCAACCAATGGCGCAACGGAAAGCGATGAAATTACAAAACCAGGAAATAAACCTCACAAATATTAATCCGAGTACAAAAATTTTTTGTTACTCTTAGATGTAATTTACAAACGCACGTTTTGTACCAGTTGCATAATAATGTCACTGTAGAACAAGAAAATTAATTGTAATTTATGATAATATATATACATATATATATATGTATATGGGGCGTTCTCTGTCAAAAAGGCCACCCCCTCTGCCCACTTCAATTTTTGAGATATAATGCTCTAAAAGGGCTTAAAATTTTCGTTGAAGTGTTTATTTTTCGATGCCGTATGGCGTTTTTGAAAATTCAAAATGGCGGACCTAGAATCGCGACTATAATGGAAAAAGCCATTAAAAGCACGATAATATTAGACAATAAATTTTTAATTTTGTCGATTACATGAGTATGAATAGTCATTTTCTATGTATTTTTGTTTGCTGAACACGAATCCGTTATCCAAATTTGGCTAGCACGTCACGATTTTGAGAAAAATGCCGAAAATGCCAGAAACACACGACAATTTTGAGAGTATTTATGCATAACACCGGCAAAAAATTTTTTCCTCTAAATTTCGCTAATACTATGCTGAACTATGAATGTTTAGCTTTAAAATGAGTTTTGTTTCATTTCGGTACGATTTTTCATTTTCGAGATATAGCTAAAATGAGAAACACTGGTTGCGCGCATGCAACGCAACCGTGAAACGGAACAATGATACTGATGCTCTGTATCATTAACTCTGTTGAATGGTTGTGGTCTTGATAACGAATAAAAACGAGTTAACACAAATACGAATTTATTGCGAGATAGATACGGCATACACGTGTGCTCTTCACGACGGCTCAAGCACGAGTGAGCATGCTTTGGGCGGAAGGATATCGACGACCGACGTTTGCTATCCGCGCATGATCGATAGGACGATCTAGAATGATCTGGATTATTCGGGAACAGTCGATAGTCGACGTCACATCCGTAAATTCAAGACAAGGGCATTCCTTGTTTTCGCTTCTCTCTCTCTTTTCTTTGTCGCACATGTCTATCGTATCATACTGGCTACATTCTACCTTGAAGCACGAATAAACGTATTTATTCAACAAACTCCATATCCGAATTTATCTGTAGTATTACTTTGATAGCGACCTGTAAGCTAAATTTTTGTTTCTACCACAATTCTCTGTATAGAACTTCAGGCCAGAGCGATCACTTGATCTTGGGAAGAAATTCATTTCTGAATAAAGTTGAATATTAGACCATTAAAATAAACTCATACCGAAACGAAACACAAGGCATTTTAAAGTTAAAAGTTGGTACTTTCGCGTGGCATTAATGAAATTGGGGAAAAAATTTGCTGCCGTGCTACGTCACGAAAACCATAAAAAATGCTGTTTTTATCAATTTGAGGCCATTTTTCTAAAAATCGTGATGCTAGCCTTTGGACAACAGATTCGTGTTCAGCAGGCAAAAATACATGGAAAATTACTATTCACACTCATGTAATTGACAAAATTAAAAATTTGTTGCCTAATATTATCTTGCTTTTAATGGCTTTTTCATTCTAGTCGCGATTCTGGGTCCGCCATTTTGAATTTTCGATAACGCCATACGGCATCGAAAAATAGACACTTCAACGAAAATTTTAAGCCCTTTTAGAGCATTATATCTCAAAAATTGAAGTGGGCAGGGGGGGTGGCCTTTTTGACAGAGAACGCCCCATATACAGGGTGTCAGATTCGATATGGACGACCCCAAAGATTATAGTAGATTGGGTTAAACTGAGAAGAAAAGTTATATAAAATTTTACGAAATCGTAATTATTATCGCCTAATTCAGAAAAACGTCTGAGCCAATAAGTGCACGGAGGAGCGGAAGGCCGGACTCGGCAGCATGCAAAATGGTGTGTTTGTTGACATCTCTAGCGAACGCATTCGCCCGCTCACCGCTCCCCGCTCCCCGCTCGCCACCGTCTCTCATCGATCGATGCGTGACTCCACCTCTCGCTATCGATTTTTGAGAGATGTCAACAAACACACCATTTTGCATGCTGCCGAGTCCGGCCTTATTGGCTCAGACGTTTTTCTGAATTAGGCGATAATAATTACGATTTTGTAAAATTTTATATAACTTTTCTTCTCAGTTTAACCCAATTTACTATAATCTTTGGGGTCGTCCATATCGAATCTGACACCCTGTATATATTCGTTCTTGCATATACTTTTTATTCATTTTTCGTATTATTTTCCCAAAGCATTTGTTTTAAATAATGCAACTTGTATCAAGCACGCAATCGTCTGTTTAGTTAGGGTGACCTGGATTTTCCCATATAGCACAGAAAGCTTTCAGAGATATTTCAAAATTATCCAAAATAACGTATATCAGAATATAAATAAAATTTATAATATAAAACCACCAAGCTCGTTTTTATTATTTCTTGTCTAATATAAATCTCTTAAAGAAAATCATCACGAAAGAGAGCTTTTCGTAAATTTAATGATTTATATTTATGAAGTAATAAGTATTTTGTTAGATGTTTCGGGAAATTTGACCTGGGGCTCGATTCTTGAATTTGTTCGAAGGAGAAACGTATGCGAAATTTCTGCTCTTACAGAAAAGTTGCAAGTTGATTGGCTATTCGTGTGGCTTCAACCAATCGACTTTCAATTTTTCTGTCAGAGCAGAATGTTCGTTAATTGCACGAATAAAAATACTTTTATTCGTGCAATGCGCAATACACAATTCCACAAAGAATTTCTTTTCAGCCTCGGTGGTCGAATTGATGAGACGCCCACCTAGAGTGTAGAGAGGTCCAGGTTCAAGCCTCGGCTGAGATAATATTTTTCGCAATTAATTTTCTCTAATTAGAATTGCCAGTTGCGCTTAACATTTTTCCCACATTGATTTATTTTCAGTTTTTCAACTCGTTTAAATTGCATTACGCGAGTATAAGATATGATAATCATAAAACGACAAATGTTCTGAAAACGTGTGGCAATTATACTAATTAAGTAGATACATGAGATTCCGTTGGCCATGATAAGAATATTGCTTCCTATTGAAGTTATCCAGTAGATAAGTAGAATAGATAGGCAAGGAATAATGATAAGTAGAATAGTGAGATAATTAGAATTGTTACTGCATTGTTACTGAACCACATAATAAATATTCTTTTTGAAAAGCGCGAGAAATGTTATTTAGATAACTTTTTAAGCTCTCATATAATATAATTATCTATACTACCTATAAATAACTCATATAGCACAGAATTAGCAGCGACATTGCTGCTACGGCCATGCAATGACATAATATTGCAACAAGCTGCGAATGTAGCAGTTCTTAAGAATTTATAACGACATTTATACGCATGTATCCCCTTAATGCTTTTATTAATTATTATTCCTTATATATTATATATTTAAAGAAAGAAGCACTATTCTAAGAAAACTATCATTCAGAATTTATACATTATTTTTCGATGTTAATAAAAATGTACGCGAAAAAAGAAAATTATGTAAATTAATGTGCCTTGAGTTTGAAATGTTATACACAATGTAGCAATAATATTCGTTATCACAGGCGCCGTTTCATTAAGATAAATCGGAAGGCTGGTAGACAAGTCTCTGACCTTCGGCTCTATCAATTCGATATGGTGGCGATGCAGAATCCTTCCGCGGATAGTAATAGTATAAAAGGCTAAACTATGCGAAAAGTAACTTTATATTGTATCGAAGAACATAAGAATAAATATATTAACTACACAGTGCAACTAAAATTTATATTAACCGCACATTGTTTAGCAACAATGAGGCGGTTCATCCTTCTGTAAGTAACTCGTGATAATTATTTTTTAAACACGGTGTTAATAAGCGATTAGCCGATCCCTACCTTTGCTTTTTAGAAAACTAATTCACCTTATTCGACTGCAACTCAGAAAAGTGAAGCCTAAACGATCCATATACACTGACATTTCTTCTTGTTTCGGATTCTAGCTACTGAAAAACCGATAATTACGAATTATCCTTTACGCATACTTATTTGTTTATTTTCCCTTCGTTACTTTTCATTAATTATCATTATTATCCTTTCTTATATAGTGTATTATACTCATTTCATTTTGAATTGTACCATGCAGCGCCTTCATCGGCGTTTTTCTAGTGAAAAATGCTGCACCGTCGAGAAAGATTCATCCTTCGCGTCTGGAATGGTTGTTTGACTTAAATAGTAAACAAGATAAAAACAAAGAAGAAGATACGTCGACCGTGTGCCAATCTCAGGAGTGCAAGAAAATAGGTATTTCTTAAACGGCAACAGCTATGATTTTAATTATTATACAATAGCAGACGGGAAGAAACATGTAGCTGCCTAAATTCCAGTTGTAAAATATGGACAGCTAATATTCAGCTCGGATAGTTAAATGTTTTCTTACTGTGCCTATTGTATCAGGCCGACAGCAAAGCGTTCGCTGTGGTTTAGAAAATAGTTGCGGCAGCAAAACATCTTTAGCAAACCATGATTAGCTGCGAAATTTTTTTTTTAGCGCAGCTAACCTTAAGATTGAAATCTTTATTTGTTTATTGTCTTTTCTCTCGTTTTTATTTTATTCCAGCTCAGATGATATCGGAGAGTATGGACAAAACTGTGGATCCGTGCGAGGATTTCTACGAATACGCTTGCGGGAAATGGCCGGAGCACAATCCTCCCCCGGAGGGGATGGATTCCTGGAGCATGTTTGAAAGCGCGCAGATGAATGTCATGAAGCAAGTAAAAGGTAAGTGCCGAAACAGCCGAAATTGTAATCCGAATTGCTCTCGTATAATTAAATGATATTTTGCAGAAATTTTTGACGAGGGTCCCAAGGACAGCGATCTTTTGGCGGTGAAACTCGCGAAGAAATGGTACGCGGTATGCATGGATACAGGTAAGCACGAGTGACTCTCAAACGCCGTGCAAAAATCACGATATTTCTTCTTTTTCACATTTCACGATATGATCGCGGACTCGCGAAATACTTTCAGATAAAATGGAGAGGCAAGGGCTCGAGCCGCTTGTCTTCACCATGTCTCGGATAGGTGGCTGGCCGTTGATAATGGACCCGGACGAATGGAATGAGCAGGAGTACAGTTGGCAAAAAGTGGACGATCAGTATGTGCGATTGACGGGAAAGAATGCTTTTCACGACGTGCGCGTGATCGAATACGGTTGGAACGAGACCTCGAAAGTAGTACATGTACTTATCGTGACACAATTATTAAAATTATTATTGTACGCTGCATTAACAAACCTAAATCTAGAAGCGTGTGTGCGAGATGTAATTGACGTCTCTATAATTTCATTATACAATATTGACATTATATAGTGTCATCGAACGCTTATTTTCTGCGTTAACCTTTGCGTCACACGCGAACGTAAAATATTCCAAGCATTCCCTGTAACTTTCCACTAGCGATTCTCGCTAACGTAAGTTTTTGTTATCAGATTGATATTCCTCATCTACCTCTGGGTTCATACAGACTCTGGAGTTCGATCGACAGCGGGGAGGAAGAAGATGAAAGCGAAGAGGACTCCAGCGATGAGGATCCCAGCGATGAAGATCCCAGCGACGAGGAGAAGCAAAGCGACGAGCAGAAAGACAGTCAAGAACCTGGAAGTGAAGATAAAAGCGACGACCAGAAAGATAGTCAAGAACCTGGAAGTGAAGATGAAAGCGACGAGCAGAAAGATAGTCAAGAACCTGGAAGTGAAGATAAAAGCGACGACCAAAGCGATAATGACGATGACGATGAAGATGATGATAATAGTGACGATAAAGATGATGACAATGATGACGATGAAGATGACGACAAACATGACAATTACGATACAAATGTACAGAAAAACCAGAAGAAGAGGAAGGGCGGTATGAAAAAGACTGGCAAGTTAGTGAAAAATAAAAAGCTGAGACATAGTGGAAGGAGAAAGGGTAGTACGCATGCTAAGAAGTACGAGAGCCACAAGGCAAAGAAAGAGAGGATAAAGAAACGGGCAACGCCGACAATTGTTCATGAGAAATTACGAAGGCTGAAGAACAAGCGCAATCACGTGAAGCATAAGCGTACGGAGAGATTAAAGAAATCTAAGAAATCTTTAGAGGCCACAACACCGCGGATCAACACGGAAGAGATAATCGATGAAGATGACCAACTGAACAAATACGCTAATTACGTCTCGGCAGTAGCTCGCGCCATAGCTAAAGCAGGAGGCATCGAAGTCTCGGAGGAACACATGGATAAAGATATTCAAGACATGATCAACTTTCATATAAAATTAGTTGGCGTGAGTGTTGCACCAAGAGACATGGTAATGTCTCGCGCCAAGCATAAGCGTGGCGAATATCGCGCGCGCGAAACCGACCGCGTATCTTTACGCGTTATTGTTACTTTGTAAAAGGCAGCGAAAAGAAGATTGTACAATAACTCGAACAATAATGTTTCAGATTACTGTAGATTTCGATGATGATGAGGAGATGACGCTCGATGATTTACAAGAATGGTACGATGAAAAGAAACATAAAACTGACAACAGCGAAGTAAGTCGTTCTCCAATTAACTAATTAATTAATTATTTAATATGTTATTAACTGAGCACGATTGACGCTACGTAGATTGACTGGCTGTACAAAATTGGGGAGTTGTTTGACGAGGCCCACGTACCTATAGATGGCGCTTTAGATCTAGAAATTGGCTCACCAAGTTACTTCAGGAATCTCGTCGCTTTGCTGGATAAGACCTCAAGTCGAACAATCGGTAAATTTTGAAAGAAATCCGGCAGTAATAAGGGAATGTCGTCGATAGATATGCTCACGTGAGACACGTTTCAGTGAACTATATACATTGGAACTTCTTGAGTAGAATAATAAAAGCTACGACAAACGAAATGAGAAAATTATGCAGCGAGTGGCAAGTAGAAAAGGATGAAGATAAAGACATTCTTGGAGTTCCAGCGAGGTGTGTGCTATAAGTTCTTATACCTTTAAAAAGCAGTCATTCGCTCTTCAACTAGACATATGCTTAATATTATACAGGGTGTCGGATTCGATTTGGACGACTCCAAAGATTACAGTAGATTGGGTCAAGCTGAGAAGAAAAGTTATATACCATTTTACAAAATTTGTAATTATTATCGCGTAATTAAGAAAAACGTCTGAGCCAATAAGTGCACGGAGGAACTGAAGGCCGGACTCGGCAGACATGCAAAATGGTGTATTATTCTCCTAACACCAGAAAAAATTTTTCGGCGCGATGTCATATGTCGCGCGTTCGCTCGCTGCGCGCCTTTCGCCCGCTCACCGCTCCCCGCTCGCCCCCGTCACTCATCGATCGATGCATGACTCCACCTCTCGCTATCGGATCTTGAGAAATGTCAACAAATACACCATTTTGCATGTCTGCCTTCCGCTCCTCCGTGCACTTATTGGCTCAGACGTTTTTCTTAATTACGCGATAATAATTACGGATTTTGTCAAATGGTATATAACTTTTCTTCTCAGTTTGACCCAATCTACTATAATCTTTGGAGTCGTCCAAATCGAATCCGACACCCTGTATAAACTTTCTTTATTACATTGTATTTTTATTCATTCTCACCTCGGTGAGAATTTTTGTCAGAACTTTTATACGTATCGGTGCTCTTTTCAGAAACAATGAGAAAGTTCACTTCTTCTCTTAGAATTTTTCATACGTGTGAATATTCCGAAATATTCCAGTTCTAAGATTTTTGATTCTGTAATTTCTGAAAACCTCTACGTGATCTGATTTACAAGAATGGTACGATAAAAAGAAACATAAAACTGCCAACGGCGATGTTCAATCTGAAATTATAGAGTGAGAAGTTTCAGAATATTTCAGATTTTAAGTAAAAAATTCTAAAAAAAGACATCAACTTTTTCGGCATATTTGAAAGGCATACCAATTTGTACGAAAAATCTGAAAATTTTTCTAAAAGACTATAAAATTATTGAAAAAACCTGAAAGTTGCGAAATTTACATAAAAATTATACGAAAAGTTTGGAGAAAATTTTCACAGTCAGGGCAATCTTGTAGTTTTAACCCGTGAATAAAAATTAGATCCAGATTATGCTAATGTCAAACTGATCATAAATTGTTACCCTAGAGCGTACAACTGCATGGAGGAAGTAGAGATGAGCGACATTCTAGCATACGAATATGTGAGAAATCATTTCTCTGATGATATCACGACAACCGTAAGCCGTTTGCGTTAATTGTGAACTAAAAGTGATGTTTTGTCTGTCGCTTATAACATTCTGACTGTGTTCAATTGGATTATCATTCCTGTTGCAGGCATCGGACATGATGGACGACATACAAAAGGAAGTCGAGTATCAAATTAAAGAATCAGACTGGATGGATGAGAATACTAAGGATTTTGTTTTAGCGAAGTTAGTGAATATGGAGAAATTCATCGGATATCCAGATTGGTATAAAAATAACACTATCGTTAAACGATACTTTCAAGGGGTAAGTCTCGCAAAATTGATTTATTGCTATTACACAGTGACTGCGTTGTTTAACAATTCCATTCTGTTGAAGCTCGTTATCAGCAATTCGTATTACGAGAATGTTCTCAGCCATAAAAGATACATCAAGTGGAAAAAACTACGAAAGTTATTGGATGAAGATGAAGACGATGACGTGTAAGATAATATATTCATATCTGTTCCAATGCGGCTTTGTTCTTTAATTTGAAAGTAAACTCTTACAATAAATTACAGAACGACGATGAGCCCGGTAATGGTAAATGCTTTTTTCGACCCGGACGCTAATTCCGTAGGTTTGTAGCCAAAACTTCTTTTTAGCGCAATAAAACTACACAAATTTGCAACCATTACTGTTGCCCTTGGGATTAATTTTTTCTTTCGATTGCAGCCTTTTCGGCAGCGGATTTCCAGAGCCCACTATTTGCTTACGGTCGACCACAGTAAGTACACAATTTTGATGAAAATATCAACGCAATTAGCATAGCGACAGACACAAACAGGCTTGTATTACTTCTACAAATTTCATAGTATTTAATACAATTTTCTGTAATTACTCTTCATTACAGAGTTATTAATTACGGTATTGTTGGATCAATTATGGGTCACGAAGTTAATCACGGATTCGACGATGAAGGTAACGTAAAGTTAGAAAATAACATTTGCTATGTTAGATGCGCCGTATTATATTATTAAATTACATTACAATTGTGTTGTAATAATATAATAACGGCATCTCATTTTATTCCAAGATACGTCTGAGAAACTCTGAAGAATATGTAAAAAGTATAGCAAAAACCATTTTTAGGACACAAGTACGATAAGAATGGAGATATCGTGGAGTGGCTAGCCGCAATGGCCGAAGCATATGGCAAGAAGGCGGAATGTTTCGTCGAGCAATTTAATAATTATCCCATCGACAAGGCAACCAACTACAAGATAAAAGTACGTCGCTCATTCTGCATTTGAGAATACCGTTCAATTGACGGTGCCGTTATTTCTTCGTCTTGTATTTTGAAAACGTTCGGTCGTACCTACTGTTAAAAATTGCAGAACTACGGCAACCAGACGGCAGGAGAGAATATCGCGGACACGATGGGGTTACAGGCAGCGTATAAAGCGTATCGAAGGAGAGAAAGAGAATGCGGTAAACAGGACACCGTTTTGCCAGGCCACGAAGACCTCACTAACAATCAGCTTTTCTTCCTGTCCTTTGCTAACGTAAGTGTCACAGATCGCGAATTCGGTGCTGTAATAATTAAATTATGAGAATAACAATGATTGAAATAATATTAATGTATTTCAACATATGAGTGAAATTGCGGTAACGCTTGCAGCTGTGGTGCGAGGGTGGAGAAACATCTAGTATCATAACGAGCGCCAAGTCTGACGAACACAGCACCGGACGGTTGAGGGTGATAGGAAGCGTTTCGAATTCGCAAGACTTCGCCGAGGCTTACAATTGTCCGGTCGGCAGTGCAATGAATCCCGAAAAGAAATGCCACATTTGGAAGTGAATAATATACATATATGTATATATTGTAGTATTAATTTGCTATATAAAATATTACATTCTACATGCGATAGAACGAAAACGAGCGTTAGCGAACATTCTCGATGTACGAAAACAAGAGGCCTGTATTTCTCAACTTGACAATCTCCAAGGTTTAGATCTGTGTATAGAAGCGCGATCGCTCGAACGAAGGGCAGAGTCGCTTGAGAGAGAATAACCGAAAAGGGCCGTCGTCGAGAGCGCGAGCGTTACGAGCAATTATTCTCTGTACGCGTGTTAGATCTTTTCTTTTGTACTCAATAAATACTTCTAATCTGCTTCTAACGATTTTCTAAAATTGCGAAATAAAGACTGTCCCGCAATATTATAACTTAAACTTGCCAAGGCTTGACAAAAGTATAAAATATTTGACAAAAAATGTTTATTTACATTGTAACGATAAATAAAACGAGGTATAAAATGATGTAAAGAACTCGGGCATTTTCTCGTCCACGCGTTTGTTACAATTTCATGATGTAAAGGCAGGGTTGGTAAAGTTACTTTATAAAAGTAATCTTTATAAAAGTATCTAGTTACAGTTACAAGTAAGTAACCAATTCTAAAAACGCGTTACCCCTGGTCCACAATCTTGCTTTAAGTAAGCTGTAAACCTTAAGCCGTAAGAAATTAACCAATCACAGGCATTTATTCCCCTCACTCTCATCTGTGAGTGGTTAATATTTTACGGCTTAAGGCTTACAGCTTACTTAAAGCAAGATCGTGGACCAAGGGTTACAGTTACTGAAAATGTAACGAATCGTTATTTTGCAGTTACTTTCTTGCAATGAGACTAAAAATATAAAATTTTTATATGCCTATGCCTATGCCTATGAAGAGAGTGCAGAAGAAGAGGACGAAGAAGAAAAGGGAGATAGCAAAAGCGATAAAGACCCAAGCGACGAGGAGGAGCAAAGCGAAGAGGAACCTGAAAGCGACGGCGAGGATAATCAAAAGTCGATGATGATGACAATGACGACGACGACGACGACGACGATGATGATGATGGCAGCGACGATTGTGATGACGATGATATGAACAAGGTTGAAGGTGTGAAGAAAGTAATGGGCAAGAAGAAAATCGGCAAAATCGGTCGTGGAAGAAATAAAAAATTACGGCATATTGGACAAAGAAAGAGGCGTACTCAGATTACTAAGAAACATAATAGCCACAAGGCGAAAAAACAAAGAATAATTGAAATGACGAATACATATAAAATATTATTTAATGAAAACAGATTTTCAGTACTCTCAAAACTAGCACTAGGGTCTGGTCTCTATATAGTTCATGAAAGGTCTGGAAAGATATAGTCATGATTTGAGAAGAATAAATTGTTAAGATGAATATAATTATATTATATTCATTATATATAATTATTGTAAGTATTATATGTGTATATAATATTTCATAAAGATAATAAATACATCGTATTAGTTATATTCTGTTATATTATATAACTGCAGTTATTCTTTTATCTACGAGTATCTCTTTTAATTATCGAGTTATGTTCCCCTGCGCCTGCCTGCCCGAATACTTATTCACTCGTATTTCAATATATGGTTCTACCTTTCCGTTTTCTTGACTATCCGCATCCCTACCCGTATTCCGCTGTATAGTCTTATTTATCTATTTTCCTGTCTACTCGCGTTTCAACTTAATAAATCTGCTTTCGTTAATACCGCGACGGGATTTATAAACGACTCGGTTTAGGCTTTAAATCCGAGCGCGATTGGGATTTGATAGTGGTTTTTATTCTTGCACATATGCAAGAATATGTAAAGAAGGAAAGAATATAACCCACCCGAATTTTTGCACATAAGAAAAAATCAAAATATATCGTACAACATATTCACATGATCCATCAAAGTGGCCAATATTGGTCACTAACCTCGGCGTATCCCTTCGTTGGGCCAGATTGGACATGCCTTTCGTTGCTCCTGGCCTTACAGTCTGATCATTTTGACCAGAGATCAGAAAGGAAGAAATTCTCCTTCCATAGTCGGTTTATCGTCACCGACAAATATTTCGTACGGTTCGAACTGTATGCGAGCGTCGATCGTATAAAAAAATGCACGACCACGAGAAGTTAATTAAAGAAAAAAATTAATTCAAAATATTTACTGTATAAACTGATCAACTATATTTTGACATCCGTTATTTGCTCAAGAATAGCTGTTGACTCGATCTTCGAATTCAAAATTCAAGTATAGATATGGAAACAAAATTTACTTCGCGTTATATATATTTTAAAATATTTGAATTATATTCCGCGGTAAACTAAAATTTATAATGTTAATAAAGTCAAACAATTAATAACTTCTTGAACTTTTTTTGAAAAATCAATCGCGAAAACCGACCGCGGAAACAACCGTAAAAATACGAAGATGCGTGCGACTGTGCATGTATTCATGCGAGACGCATCTTGAAAGTGTATCGCGGGGTGCACATACAAAATAAATGACGTGAGACCCAGAGAAAAGAGACTTTCCGTACGATAGGCCGACAATTGAATATTCCAGTTAATCAGTAATTTCAAACGATGCATGAAAATAATATTAAGTTTCAGCGTTCTCGACAAAATATACTGTCTCACGTCATTATATAAATTTTTATATAAATTTGTTAATAAAAAATTGATAGAGTACAAGAGATTAGCTCGACGAATATATTAATAATATTCGTCATATTTTGCACGAAAATTACGGGACACCCAACCCTTCGCAGTTAAAGTCGCGATCACTCCCTTTCGTTAAAGTAAATGTATAAAAATAATTACGAAATTATGTTGTACTCTATCAATTTTGAGGCAACGGATCTACGAGATATACTAATTTATGTTCTACAATCTACGATCTACGAAATGTATTCTGGGAAAAAGTTAGTTGCAACCCATTTTGGGGCCCACAATTGGTAATCGAATTATTTAGATTGTTCCTCGGATTGTTCGTAACTCTAATCTTTTACAAATTTTATCCCGCGTAACTAAAAATCACAATTAGCTGTTCTATCTTTATCCAAGATATTAAAGTAATACTAATCAATTCTCTCAATTAGTTCTGTCGATATTCGGTAACGCAAAGATAATTTTCACTTAAGTGGCAATAACCGAAACGTTAAGTTGCTTAACTACATCAAAAAACGGTCAAAAATTTTCCCAGAGAATCTACGAAATATACTAATTTATCATCTACAAACTACGATCTACGAAATGTAGATTCGTTGCCTCGTTAAAAAATTATTGGACTTACCAACTGACGCGCAGCAGCGGAGTTTAACTACGATGAATCTGTAACAGAAAAATAAAAGATTTCTATTAAAATAGCGTTCAAGAAAACTAAAAATAGTGCAAGATATAGTTCATATGCGTATAAAACTTTTTATTCGGTTAGATATGTTTATATGATTATTGCGCGAAAGTTGTTCGGTAAAAGCCGAGATTTTCACGAGAATAAACTTTTGTAAAATCTCAAATTACTTCTCGGCCTTTAAGTATTCTTTCGAATTTATGAAATTATGAACTGAAACGATGTAGAAAATTGCATGACGACCGATGGCTATCGTGCAATTTTCTACATTGGTCGATCAATTACTGGCGCTAAATAATTCTTTACGCAATGAAACGACTCGATAATACACCGGAGAAAATATTAATTTGGCACAAAATGAAAAATTAACACTCACCATAAAGTTGCTCCGCCGGCGCCTGATGCCTTCCCCTGGCCACCTCATCCTCTCAGATTATCCTCCAGGACACTCGCGAGAACACAAAAATCGTTGGCGCGATTTTACACTCCCGTTTACAAAGTCGATGTGAACGTATTCATTTTGTTCCGTCAAGTTCGCCTCCACTTCAAGTCGGCAAGTTTTTTAGTCGAAAAACTGCCAAATCTCTGAAGTGTGGCCATCGACAGGAACGGACACTTGACAAATACTTGTTCAAATGGGCTTTGAAGAGTCTTTAATTCGAGTAGTAAAACGGCACTCCCGAACGCGACGAAAGCCGAAACTTTGTATTATACGCGCACTTTTGCACTAATAATTCTTAAAGCGATTATTGCTCAATGGAACGCTCAGTCTATATTTACTGTCTATGTATTTCCTCTTCGAATTACGAGCGACATTTATCTCGAAGAATCACCGTGAAAATCAACGCTATGACTACGGATCGCGACAATCACTTAAACGAAACGATCGTTTCGCACGAGAGATGCTATCAATCGCGTTCAAATAATTGTCGCGATCCGTAATCGTACAATTAATTTCCACGGTGATGGCAAAGCGCGAGGATTCGGCGATCGCGTGTCTATGTCAATCACTGCCTATAGCGAGGAATCGCAGCTTCTTCTCCCGTGCTCGTCGCGAACACGCGAACGCGGAAGAATATGATACGACGACGCGCAAACGGTGAAAGAATTATAATACGATGCGGAGCGGCGCGGTTCGCTCCCGCCACGTACGACTGTCGCCGCGCGAATGATCGCGACTCGCGACTCTCGCGAGTACGCCGTGATTTTGGTTTCGGCGTAAACAACCCGGTCGCCGGCGAGCGCGTGTTTACATTCCGATCTGATGACGTAGCGACCGAGTCATTCGGCACGCGACAGTTGAGCGCGGCGTAAGTGTTTCGCGTGTTATCGCGTCGCTCTCGTAACGCGATTGAGATCCGATTTCACCGACGTTACTAGGCTTTGGGCTCGGCTCGGACTCGTTCTCTATCACCTTCCAACTGTTACTTTAGAAAGAGACAAACGCCAATGAAACTAAAGCCAACGGCACACGATACGAATTTTCCTACTGGCTTGCTCACGAGAGCCAATCAAGATGCAGAGTTTTCGATCCGGTAACTCGAAGCTAAATCCTGATTGGCTCGCGTAAGTAATCCAGTATGAAAAATATAGCAACGTGTGCCGTTGGCTTTAAGTTAACTTTAACACTAAAGTTGAGCGACGTTCGGTGAAAACGAGCCTAATCCCTACGAGAATCTCGATCGTCCACGCCTACGCAACGCGATCGTTTCGTACGGGAGATTATTTCTTGGCAATTATTAACGTTTATCAATCGCGTTTCAATAATTGTCGCGATCTGTAATGATATAATTGACTTCTACGGTGATTCATCGAGATCAATATCGCGCGTAAAGCCGCATCTACACTATATAACTTAAAACATGCTATATAGCAAAGTTATACAACTTGTTACAAAAAGAAAAGAAAAAATGTTATATAACATGATGTTGTATAACATTTTTCGTGTTATATAGCAGGTTATATGTTATCCATTAGTTGTCG